CCACCCATTGCTGGCTCTGAAAAATGGAAGGGCTCATAAACCAAAGAATGTGGGAAGCCTCTAGAAACCGGAAAAGCAAGGAAACATTCGCCAGCAGACTGTCAGGAAAGGATGCAGCCGTGCCAACACCTTGATTTTCGCCCAGTCAGGCCCATTGCAGACCGCTGACCTCCAGAACTATCAAATAACAAATGTGCATTAAGTCACTACACTTGTGGTCATTTGTTACAGGAGCGATAAGAATTTACTACAGAGACTGCCTTCTTCACTTTTCTTCTCGCCAACGTACCATGGAGTTTTCCAGAGGCTACATGATGTGTGATTCTGCAACAGAATGACGCAAAAATCAGATCCAAGAATCTAGCTATCTTCCATCAATCCGGGCATTACAGAAATTTGCAAAATTTGGGGCTTCCTGGGTGTGGTGGGGAGAGGGGGAGGCGTTGGCTAATCACTAATCAGTACACAGGGAAGGCCAGGGATGAAGTTCAAAGACGCACACAGCATGCAGCATAACAGGAAATAACGGACCACATGCAAATACACCCATCTCTTTACATTACAATTGCATAGTGATTTCTTAGAATTCATCATTTTAGGGCAAGATTTCTCAGTCTTGGCACAACTGGCATTTGGGGCTGGATAATCTTTGCCATGGGTGGCTGTGCTCTGCATTGTAGGCTGTTTAGCAGCACCCCTGGCCTCCACCCACTAGGGGCCAACAGCCTCTGCTTCCCCCAGAAAAGTCTCCAAACATTGCCAAATGTCCCCTGGGGAGCAAAATGTACCTCCCTCCCCAACTCTGGTTGAGAACCATAGCTCTACAGGCAATTTTTGCTACAGGTTATAAACCAGTATTTCTTTCCCTAAAAATACAAAGATACTAGCTATTGTTATCAGTTATTAAATAACTCTTTCAGTCCTAGCACAACACTTAATAAGGGGTGGAGGCGGGTTAGTGAGCTCTGGAGTCTAGGTCTCCTTCACAGGGGCCAGCGCCATCACTAACTGTGTGGCCTTGAACAAGCCATCTGATCTCTCCAGTTTTGGTTTCTTCCTTTGTAGAATGAGGCCACTAACTGTATTCCTAAAAATACAGTTTTCTTTCAGCCGAATTTGATACAGGGTGCAAAAGTACTGCATTTCCAAAAATCTCAAATAAAAAAGAAGAAGAAGAAGAAGAAGAAGGAATTCAAATGAGGGGCAGTCTACAAGGTGACCAGTACTTCTCAAAACTGTCAAGGTCATCAAAAACATGGCAACTCAGAGAAACTGTCACAGCCAGAGAACCAGGGGGACATGACAAATAAATGCAGTGTGCTCTCCTGGATGGGGTCCTGAAGTAGTAAAGGACACCACACTACCTAGGTTAAGAACTGAGAAAATCTGAATTAAGTATCCATCTAGTTAACATGGGTACATAGTGACAAAGTATCAATATTGGTTCATTAATTGTGACAAATGTACCACAGTCAGGTAAGAAGTTAACAGGGTTTATAGAAACATGCCATTTTTCTGTAAATCTAAAACATAAAGCTTGTTTTTAAAAAAAAAACACTTTTTAAAAATCCAAATGAAAATATAAAGGATGGAAGAGAAAGAGTGAGTAAAAACTCTCTTCCCTGAGCAGCCTTTACTCTGGGAGCCCTTCAAAGGGAAGGTACCTGAACAGATTGCTTGCATTACCGCAAGAGACCAAAAGGCCAGAAAGAAAGAATCAGGGAGTGAGAAAACAACATTCTTTTGTCTCCTTGCAAACTGAAACAAAACAAACAAACAAAAGACTACTGTATGCTTTCATATTTCTTCTGGCCTCTCATCCCTACAGACCCCGTTCTCAGGATACATTTCCCGCATCCCTGAGCAGTTATTTGCTCAGGTGTCAGAGCTCCTGGGGCCCACGCTGTTTATCTCCCCAAGCTGGACTGTCACTTAACTGTTTACCAGTCTCCCGCTGCCAAAGGCAACACCGGCAGGGGTGGGGCCTCTGTGGGTCCCTCCCTCTCAGACCAGCCCATCTGTGAATCCACAGCCTTTAAGCTCACTGCTAGGTATCAATAAAAGCTTGGTGAATGAACGAAAGCTGGGCACTTGTACTGACTTCAGCTAAATGGGGTAGGGATGGTCCAGGCCCATTAGGGCAAAGAAGGAAGTGTCAAATTAAAGTCCCTGTGTTCTCACGGGTGAGAGAGACACTGACTACGTGCTGGGGTGTGAAGAAGGGATGGGGCACACGATTACCTGATCCTCAGACCCGCAAAAAGTCTTACACATTATTTAGCAGCCTCGTTCTACAAAGGAAGAACCCAAAGCTACAGAGTTCAGATGGCTTGTTCAAGGCCACACAGTTAGTGATGGCGCTGGCCCCTGTGAAGGAGACCTAGACTCCAGAGCTCACTAACCCGCCTCCACCCCTTATTAAGTGTGTCTAGGACTGAAAGAGTTATTTAATGACTGATAACAATAGCATCTACTGAGCATCTGCTGGGTAACAAGCCAACACTAAAAATCCCCAAATTATCCCCAGATTGCCGTTACAAAAACTGAGGTCAGAGAGGAAAACAACTTGCCACCAAGGTCACATAAGCCAATAAATCTCAAAATCTTTCTCAAACTGTCCTACTCCAAAGTCTCCTTGGGGTTATCACACACCTAAGCCCAAACTCTGGCCCAATGCCGATCTCTACCACCCAACGCTTCGGCTGCCTCATCCACGGGCACTGCTGTAAGCACCTTTCAGGGACGGACTCATTCATTCCTGGCCAGGACCCTACGATGCGGGTCCTGCTGCCAGCGTCCCACTTTAAGGATGAGGAAATGGAGGCTTCATGCCTGGGGGGCACAGCCTGCAAGCGGCAAACCTCGTCCACAAAAGGAGAACGGCAAAATTTTTGCCTGTAGTTTCTTATAAAACTAAACATACCATCACCATTCAACCAAGCAATGGCTGAGTATTTAGAGAAATGAACACAGGATGTTCATTCACACAAAAGCCTGTACCTGAATGTTTACAGCAGCTTTACTGTAATGGTCAAACACTGGGAACAACCCAGATGTCCTTCAAGGAGTGAACTGAGGTTAAACCAGGTTAAGCTGTGGTACATCCACACCATGGAATGCTACTCAGCAATAAAAAGGTCATACACACAACTTGGATGAATCTCCAAAGAATTATGCTCAGTGAAAAAAGCCAGTTCCCAAAGTTTGCATGCTGTATGATTCCATCTATATGACATTTTGAATTGACAGAATTTGAGAAATGGAGAATGGATAATGTCCCAGGGATTAGAGAGAGAGGAAAGGAAGGGGGGAGGGGGCGGGGCGTGGCTATAGAAACAGCGTGAGGGACTCTGGCAGTAAACTGTTCTTCATCTTGACAGTGGTGCTGTCTACAGAAACCTATTGTACAAGTGCTAAAACTGTACAGAACTAAATACACAAGTACGAGTAAAACTAGAGGACTCTGAAAAAAAGCTGTGAAATGTATCACTATCCATATGATACTGTACTATTGTTTTGCAAAATGTTACTATTGTAAGAAACTGGGGTAAAGGGTATGCCATATCTCCCTGTATTAATTCTTAGAATTGTGTATTGTAAATGCACCATTATCTCAATTAAGAGTTTCAATTTTAATTGGAAAAAAAAAAGCCTTGCCTGCCCAAAAGCTGGGCTATGTGACCTATATTTCTTTCACCAAAAATCTGCAATTTCCAATGTCTCCAAAGCCAGTCCTTTTTCTACCATACCACACAACCACTTCAAAGCCAATGCAAAATTAACGCTGAGCAAAGGAAAACAAAGAAAATAGCCTGTTACATAGTGTTTTGCATTGCTGGCCACTTTAAGTTCCTTCAGAAAAGTATCCTAATTGATTTCTTTCATTAAACTGACTTCTAGCCAAAAAAAAAAGAAAATATGATTCTACAAAATGTCCTCTCCCACCAAATCATGTCTCCTATTTCCATGAGCCACCTCTACTTCCACACTCAAAAAAAATCTGTTTAAATTTTCAATTCTAAATCTTCCTTAAGAAAAGCAGCACCAATATCACTGGCCCTTTACACGGGTTCCCAAATGGTCAGCTAGTACTGGGAGGCAGAGCAAAGCAGTAAATAAGACAGTAAGTTAGGGGCTGAGACAGATCCATCAAGGTGTTACGGTGGCCAGGTTCCTTAAACTTGAGTCCTGCCCTGGCCGGATGGCTCAGTAGGTTAGAGCGTCGTCCGATGCGCCCTGGTTGCCGTTCGATCCCGGGGCAAGTCCCTCCAGGAATGGGAAGAATTCAAGGAGACAATCTTTGTGCCTGACACTAATATTTACTCCGTCCTCTTTCTGCCTCTCCCCATCTCCCTTAGTAAGAACGGAACCAAGCTAATTTTAAGTTCACCAGGCCACGAAGTAGCCACCCCAGAAATCCCCTCCTCGCTGAGGTTAGGAGGTAGCGCAGAGCCCTGCCAGCCTCCATTCTCTCCGGTTTCAAACACAGCAAATCGTGCCTACCCCCGAAAACAAAGGAGGAAAATAGATTAGCCTCCGGACACTGCCACATGCCCAGTAGCCCCGCTGCAAAGTAATCCGCGGCTTGTCGGATTCGGACTGGCCCTATTATTAATGTTCCTTAATAACACAATCTACCGGTGCGTGAGGGTGACCGCCTCCCCAGTGATGGCGAGCCCTCCACGAGAGCCCAAAGCGCTTCCGATGCAGATTTCTGGCTAAAAATCCCAAGAATTTATCAAACAGCTGTCCAGCAGTAGAAAGACAAGAGTTGTAAAGTTTCTGGAGGCGCATTTTTCCGCGTTTCCCCGAATCGCAATGCAGACGCGATGTCGCCTGCAGTTGAAGGCGACCGGGGCGACCGAGGATCACGACTGGGGTCCCGCGCGGATCCGAGGATGCACGCTTCCCGGCTGACCGCATGCGAGGGAGCCTGGCGCCCCAGCCCCGCGGGGACGGTCCTGGCAGGTACAGGGGGCTTGGGGGCCCGCCGCACTCACCGTCCGTGCTCCTCTTCGCCTCCCGGTAACGCTCCCACAGGTAGCGCTTCATGTCCGGAGCGGTTCCAGGTGCTGTGCACAAGGGCCGTGCGGAGCCGGCGCGCAGCCGTCCCCGGACCGCAGTCCCGCATCCGCCCCGCAGGGCCGCCGCCGCCGCCACTGCCCTGGCCCAGGCCCCACGGACCACCACGGCCACCGCCGCGGTGGCCATGCTTGCCGCCGCCCGGCTACGCCTGGCACCGCGGGGCCGGAGCTCCGCCCGCACTCCGCTCGGCAGGCCGGCAGCTGCCTGCGTCTGAGCACGTGGCGGCGCGGCCCACCCCTTCGGCCGCGCTGGGGCGGGGCCTCTATGGGGGCGGAACGCGGGGGCGGGAACGGGGGCGGGGCCAGGGCGGCCGGGGCCAAGCTCAGATCTGGCTACGATCAGATCTGCGGTGCACCGGAGTGGTGGTGCGGAGGGGCGGACGCCGGGTCAGGCCGAGGCCACATGGAAAGGCCTGACTCGTTGCCAGCTTTGGGCCACTAAACGTGACCCCGGCGCCGCCTGCCGAGCTCCGCAGCAGTTTCCTCCCGCGGCCAGTGCCTGTCCCCTCGCTCTGGTTGCACTGACAGTGCCTCCGGACCCCGCTTCAAGAGGTGACCTCGCTCCACGTTAATGGCCTCTGAATTCTGGATCTCCTCTGGATCGCGGGGGTGGGTCGACGACGTCCCCAGATCCCCAGCTGGGAACCTTTCAGTGCTGCCCGTGAGGGGGCAGCTGGGCTGAGGCCCCACACCTGGGCTGATGTGCTTGAAAGGCTCCCCTCACTGCGTAACCCAGAAGACCACTACCCCCAGAAGATTTCTGCCTAGCGAGGGAGGCAGACCTCCGGGACAGGCCACCCAACTCCTATTCCTGTCACAGGCACGGTGCACTTGTCTTCTCTCGGACCTGGCAGGCTGCACCTGTTCCCTGTATTGTTGTTCTACCAAAGTCAAATAAACAGTAACTCCCACCATGTAACGTTACTGCGTGTCTCAGCTCCTGCAGGAAAGGCTGATAAGGCCCACACAGGACCTGACTGAGAACCACTGAACTGCGAGGGCTTCCCAAGCTATTAGTTAGACTGTGGGTACCGTTGAGCAGGACTGGGTGACGGGAATAACTCTCAAGCCTCGCACTCTGCCTGGGAGACCACACTGCGACCATGAAATAGGTGGGGAACGACTGAAGGCAAGTAACACAAAGCATTCGTGCAGGCTTTAGTTGTGGCCTGGAGGGGTCAGAAGATGCTTTGTGAAAAAAGGTGGCCTCTGGGTTAAACTGTGACTATAATAACTACTATTTATTGAAGGATATGCTGGGTGCATTATCTCATGCAGTCCCCTCAGTAATCCTGAAAGGTTGGTGCATCATTTCTCCCATGTCATAAATAATGAAACCGAGGCTAAGAGAAGTGAAATAACTTTCCTAAGATGACACAGCTAAGCCAGTTCTTCCATTTGGCTTCTTAATGTAGTTGGGTGTTAAGGGAGAAGGTAGCCAGTTAACTGGTAATCCTTAACAGTTCATGGGTAATATCATACAAATCGCTGACAAAATAGGAGGCAATTAAAATATTTAAGATGTATATGATTTCAAGCCATGGACTCTGGCCCTTTAAACTTTATGCTCTTTGTTCTATTGTTTATTAATATTTCATTAAGAAGTTGAGGTGATAGCAATTGTTTACATGAAAAATTAATTCATAAATTCAAAATAGATCAACTATAGCAATGTAAAAGTAACACAGATTAGAACTTTATAGCATTGCTTCACTATAGTTTTAGATATGGAACCCTGCGAGTTCAACATTCACATACCTACCATAGAAATGTCAATCACTTAAAAATTGTTCTTCTTAGCAAAACTCTGTTACAGTATTTTAAGCAGCCAAAAATGGTATCGATCTCATCAAAAAGTTCTAAATAAAGGCAAGTAGAAAAAAATTTACAGACACAGAAGAGTCCATGATCATTTTTATTTTTTATTCATATCATTCGAGGTCCTCAACAAGTATTTTTCAAATTGAGGCCTCTGCAAAAAACTCTTCTGAGGAATTGAACTGTAATCTGGGCTATGAAAAAGCCACTTTTCTGAGATGAGTTCAGTTAAGGATTCAGAGGGATTATTTGTGCTAAGAGGCCATAGCAGGCAATGCTGGTACATCTTGGGGATTTGTCCAGTTCCAGCCTCCACTTCAGCTGACAAAATCCTTTGTCGTGAAAGCTTTACTACATCATCCATTATATCCACAGATTTAATCTTAGAGAAATAACCTTTCTTTTTCTCTGATGCTTCTTTTTCTGGACCATTCCCTATTTCAACACTATTTTGTGTCTTCTGTTGGGTCTTTTCCTCAGCAGAAATAGAAAAAATGGGTCTCAAGACCTTTTTCCCTTTTCTGGAAGCAATTTTTGATTTATCTGAAATTGTACCAGGTGCCAAGTCTGTGCTTTTAGCCCTCGGTAACTTATTTGCCTTCCTGCACATTGCAGAACTCACTGTGCTAGAACTCTGGGCGCAGTGGTAGTTTAATTTCAGCAAGTGCTTCCATAATGAGGCGCCATTCCTAGAACCCTCAGAACATTGCTGTCTCGTACCTTGAGGCCATCTCCTACCCCGGATCCACTCAAGTTCCCTCAGAAGGCTGCAAAAGATCAAAAATCATCAAGAGGTTATGCCTAGGACATGAATAACCGGAAGTATATTTCTTTTTGTGACATAGAACAGGAACTCACTAGAGGATTCCATGGATTGATGAATGAGAAGATCCCAGGTGAGTCGCCCTTAAATCAAGTGATCTGTACAAATAGCCCAGTGCCTCAATCAGGATGTGATGACAAGAGTCACTTATCAATAACTGACCTGCTGGATATTTGAAAATAAGAATATTAGAATTTTTAAAAATTACTCCTGACCTCACACATTTAAATGAGGAAAGAAAATATTTATCAAAGGTAGCATTGGAACATGACCTATTGTAGTATTCCTGCCAAAAACATTTAACTTGAGTCTGCTTGTGAGGAAACGGACAGGTACAGATTGAAGGACATTGGAGCAGGGAGGGTAGGACAGAACCTGACCTAGACTATTAAAAAATATCGATATCATGAAAGACAAAACAAGCCCACTTAAATGCTCTAAAGGATACAACCAAATGCAACCAAAGATCTCATATAGGCAAACAGCTAGGACACTTGGGGGCATCTGAGTAGGGACTATATGTTAGATAATAGTCTTACATAATGGTTAAATTTCCGGGGTTTGATCATTCTATTGTCGTTATGTAGAAGAATGTACTTGCTGTACTCAGAAGACACACACTGAAGTGTTTATAGAGATAAAAGTGTCATATCTGCAACTTGCAAATGGTTTAGAAAAAACTATGGTTGTATGTGTCTGTGTGTGTATGAAAGATAGAGAATGCAAAGGTGGCAAAAACCTTAACAATTGGTGTGAATATTGGTAGCTATACAGGTGTTTGTTATACATTGCCACAGGCCACTGTCAATAATTTAATTCTCTATAATGTGTTAAAGTAAAAAAAAAATGTGTATTTTACAATTAACTTGCAAGTGGTACTCATTTATTCAATTTACCCATTTTCAAGACTGCTTTCAAGAAGCAGAGTTTATACCATTGATTATAAACATAATGTAAGGCTTGATGGGGCATCAATCTGGATATGTGATAGATAGAGGCTGCTGGATATATATGAGCTAACAGATGACCCAGCCAGCGTCCCTGTATTTATAACAATAACAGCAAATTTATGTGAGTAATTACCATCCATCAGGTCTATATAATCTTGTAAGGTATAAACTACCATCACCTCTCTTCTTTTTTCATTTACTCTTTTTAATGGGACACATGGTTCAAAAAAGGAAACATATAAAGTGAAAAGTGTCTCTCCCATCTCTGCCCCCATCTGTGCAACCTTCTCCTAAAATGTGTGTCCTTCCAGGGAATCTTTGTACTTGTCCAATGTCTTTTAAAGATGAGAAAACAAAGGACTTAAGTGACTTGCTCCAGCTCAAGGGAGAACAATCCCGGGTCTGCCTCATCCCCCAGCCCCTGGCCTTGACTTCTACACTAGGCTGCCTCTCCCCCATGACTGTCCTTCTGAGTATCATTGGGAGCTTCTGCTTACAGAGACCTTCTCTCTCTGTAGCTCTGCTTCTTGAGTCATAGCCCAGGTCACATATTGGCGCAGCTTCTGCTGGAAATCTAATAGAGAGTTTCAGCTGTTGTCTCTACTTAACAATCTGTGGCTATTTTTCTTCTTTTTGAATTATTGTCATAACTCCCTATGATGTTCTCAGTTGGTCCAATCTAGCTCAGCAGAATACTGAGTTACCCTGCTCAGGATGGCCACGTTGCATTGGCCTTAATTGGCCTTAAAAGTTAACAGTGAAGAAGAGAACCAGGATGTGTCATGAGGTGGCTGAGCAAGAACTCATTCCCAGAAGTCCTCTAGGCAGCAATAACCAGATTCCACAGACTGTTCGTTCTGCCCCCTAAGAGGCTCTCATTTGCTGGGGGACTGAGGTTGTCACATGGACCAGCCGCTAGACACACCCTATTTCAGCCTCACGTTCCCTAGACTCTTTCTTGGTCACACACCTTAGGTCCTCAGAATCTTTGCCCTCGTGACCCATTCTGGATCAGTACCTAGAGATTTAACTTCAGAACGTTCTTGAACACAATCTGATCATTCTTTCTGGAACAAGCATAGTAGCTGCCAGGAAGGGACATCCTTGTCTCGGGCCCAACTCCAGTCCACTCTGTCCTCCCTTGGGGTCAGTACCAGCTGGGCAGCACTATGCAGCCTGGTTAGTCCTCCCAGCCCAAGGAAAAGGAAAGAGCAGGATGGGGTCATTTAAATTGGAGAGAGGTCACTAGCCCTCCTCCCATGTCAAATCTTCGTTGTGCATGTGTGTGCTGTTGGTTGTTTGGCAAGACATCATCTCATTAAATCTTCAGAATAACCCTACACACAGACATTATTATCCTCTTTGGCTGGTAAGAAAATTGAAACTCAGAGAAGTTATGCTCACGAGCCTAGAAAATAGCAGAACTGGGATTCCAATCTAGGTCCCTAGGATCCAAGGACCATAATTTCTTGAAATCACATTGGTTCCTTACATTTTCCCAAAAAATCACAGCCAGGAAGGAACCACCAGTTACCATTTCCACTTTGTACTTTTCCACGGAGCCACGCCCACCTTATTTTCAGCCAAACATGAACTGAGGGTGGGTGTCGGAGGGAGGTCTCACCAACTTCCTTAAAAATGTATTCTCAAATTGTAAATGGTGAGTTTTCCTAGTTTCCCCCTTTTTTTCAGAACTTAATTAAAAAAGTGATATCTTTATTATTTCCTCTGGAAAAAGAAAGCACTCCAATTCACCCTCTCTTGTCTTTATTCATGCTGATTCTTCTTGCTTAAAATGCTCCACCTCACCTTCTTCACTGGACAAACACCTGTCAGGACTCACAGCCAAGTTACTTTCTCTGGAAAATCTTCCTGTTGCCTCTTGCATGTGCTTCCCCATAGCCTCTAGCAATGTCCGTGACAGCATACATCTCATTGGACCTCAGTTATCTCTTACGTGATTATCTTCCCAACAAAACCTCCTGTTATAGAGAAGAGGTCTCTGGCTGAGCGGAGCCTTTTAAAATCAGATGTGGGGGTAAGGACTGACTCACCCTAATGAAAGTCACCCAGTAGAGCCCCGTTTAATGTTTTCCTTCTACAATGACTGAGAGGGTTGGCATTTCTTTTTTAAAACCACCCCAGGGAGAGGGAAGTCACAGACTTCATCCAAAATAAACAACTCAGTACAGAACACTCTGCTTGATCTAATGGACTATGAAAACCCGCATGTCCACTTTTTTCCTCCCACTGAAATGGTTTCTCAACAGGCAGATTTAAACCAGTTCTCAGAGAAGGAGAATAATAAGATGGCTTTGTGTCAGAGGTAGCTTGGAACATAAATCACAAAAGCCCTCCTTCATAGTCAGGATTAGTACTACAATTTCTAGAATTAAGTTCTATTAAGATTTATTCTTGAAACTGAATCACAATTGAGGTAAACTATAAAGGATCTATTGAACAGAAAGAGATTTCATTTTTGAATAAGTGCCTCACAAAACCATGATCAGGAGAAGAAATAAGATTTAGGATTGAACGCCCTCTCACAAATCCATCGTTTTAATATGTACTCACTATAGTCTCATGCATAAAAATATTATGAGGATAATTAAAATCTGAGTTATCATTGGTGGGAACCCACTCTTTTCATACTCCTTGGAGGATTACACTGTGTTATACATATTCATCAAATGCAGTAATACAAGACTAAGGATGGTGCCAAGACTTTTCAAGCTAAGAATTATTGTCATTAATTTATAATCTAAACTGAAATCTAAAAAATCAATTAAAGATTATTGTTTTCAATAGGTTAAAATACAATTTAGGCCATTTCTTTTGCCGTGACTAGCCTGGAGCACAGCCAGCACTTCTGTGGAATCCCCAGGCCCACCGCGTAAATACCAGAAAGAACATGTTCACCCTCTCTCTTACCTTCCTGTGTTGACAGAACACCATTTCTAATGTTTTCTGAAGATATAAAGAGTAAATCACAAGGCCCCTGTTCAGTCTCTTTGAGGAGACAAAATACTCCCATTGCAAAGAAATAGAAAATGAGTGTCATAAAAGGGCCCTTGGAGCTCCTTCACGCCTCTGCAATCAAGTTCCGTTTTAGTGGATTAATTAGAAATCTTGTATGATGACTCAGGATGTGCCTCTGCGGTCTGTGGATTACTCTCAGGGAACGGCAACTGAGGCCCTTCAGACTCAAGAGAAACTCCGCCCCCCCCCCACCCGCCACCTTTAACTACCTACAAGAATGTAAATTAGGAGCCTTGCCCATAATAAGAGATTATCAAAAATAACCTTTTTGACCTATCCATAAGGCAAGCCTGTTGCTGTTCTTATCATCCTACAATGACCTGCTGGTACCTTGATCTGGGACTTCCCAGCCTTTGAAACTGTGAGAAGTGAGTTTCTGTTGTTTAAACTGCCCAGCCTATGGTGTTCTCTTAGAGTAGTCTGACCAGGCTAAGACACTTTCCTAATGAGGGATGGTAAACAGATAGCAAAAAGGTGGTAAGTGTATGGAACAGTTGCTTGCTTCACAGATGACATCTTTTAAATAAGCAAAGTATGCAGGTGAAAGACCAGGATGTCACCTGCTCCTGATAGGAACTAGACCAGAGCAATTACCTAATTTACAATAGGTATCACTTAGGCTGATGCTCAGCTGCTTCCTGATGAGTGAAGAGTTGGCCAGGGTGATTGCATTTTCCTTTATTTTTATCACTTGTTTATAATATTCAATTGCTTTCTTCATTTGGAGTCTAGAAAAGAGAAATTTAATTAAAGTTTTGCATCAAAGGAGCATTGCAGTCATTCATTCATTCAACAAACATTGACTGAATCCAGCATTTGCCACTAGCGCTGGTGGCAAATATAGATAGACTAATCCTAGTCCTCAGCAAATTTCCTGATGTAGGAAGAGAGATTGGAGGATAGAACAGAGGACTGACCACTTAGGAAGGGCATTAAGTGAGAACTTAGGGTTTGGGACTTTAATATTGAATACTTTTCATTAAGAGACTGATGTGATCTAATTTGCATTTTAGAAAAGTCATCTGGACGGATCTGTGGAGGATAAACTGAAGCAGGCGAAGCCATAGGCAGGGAAAGCAGTCAGTCCCAAGGAAGAGCAATGACGGTCTAAGCTAATGCAATGGCCACAGAGGTGAAGGGAGACCTGCCGAGGGCTGGCTTCACGTTGAGTGTTGTGGTCCTGATGCTGGGGCACTGGGGCATCCACACGTGCACTTGGATGACACGGTCAGGAGCTGGAGCTCTGAGTCAGGCGGGCCTGGGAGTGGCACGGTTGGTAGACACAGACTTCCCGGTGCTGCTCCTGCCTCTACCACTTAAAAGTGGGGCAGGCATCTTTAGCTCTTAAACTTCAGTTGTCTCATATGCAAAAAGAGGACCATCGAGTTGTTGTGATGATTAAATGAGAAAATGCATGGAATGTATTGCATAGTGACTGGCAATAAATATCCTTAAGACAGATCATTAAGAGGATGCCATGGTGTCTGCAGGGGGTGGGACAGGAAAAGACGCCTTTTGTCAGGAGATGGGTTGGATGCGTTCAGTCTTCACAGTGTTGACTCGAAAATGCCCAAATACTGTGGAATACCCAAATGGAGACGTCCAACAGGCAGACGGATGTGCGTGTGGGCAGCTGATGACAGAGGTCGGAGAAGAGAGAGACGAGAAGCCATCGCCTCATAGAAGGGCGGCTGAAGCCCTGGCATGGGTGAGGTTGAGGCATTGGGGCTAAGACCAGCACAGAGTCCACAAACGGAACCCAGGAGAGCACTGCCATGGGACACGAGTCAGGGAGAGAAAGAGGAAACCCAAGAAAGAAATGGAGAAGGCACAATCAGAGAAGATATCTACGCAGGGGTCATCTCAGAAACCAGGAGGGAGCTATCAACACTCAGGTACTTCAGCAGGACAGGACTGACAAAATCGAAGTGCAAAGGGACACATTTAGGATGTCCCTGAGGACCTCCACAGGTGTAGACAAAATGAACTTGGTGAGGGTAGAAGCCAAGTGACAGCAAATGAGAAGTGAGGAAGTAAAGGGACTTGTCTGTGAAGAGGACACTGAGGAGACATAGCTGCTGATGAATGGATACAAACTTAGAGTGGATGACATTTACTTCACCGAGAGTTTGTTCATTCTTCTCTGTCCTGCTTTTTTCTTTTACTTTTAATTTTTAAACTTGAACCCATTTATCCATCCCTACCTATCCCGTTCTCAAGGCCCTCAGAACCCCTCGGATCCTTTGGGTGGTGCACGAAAGCTGTCTCGAGGGGCTCTCACCGCCAGGACATGTTTGACAGGTGAGCCCAGCCGCGCAGCAAAATATCTCCCAAACTTGACCAACATAGAGCATATGTGATCACCTGAGAACAACTTTCAACAAGGGAAAAGGCTTCTTCGTTGTTTCAGAAGGTGGATTGTTGGCAATGAGGCCCGGGAAGGAGGCATCCAAGCGCGGTCGGGGTGGCACGGAGGCCACCCTTGCGGAACGGCAGCACTGTTAGCTGCCTGTGACTCACACCCTGCTGGCTCTGGATTTGGGCTGGGGCAGCCCGGGAGGTGGGGATGACTCAGTCAGTGAGCTACGTGTTCAGATTTTTCTTTTATGAGACAAGGATTCTATTGTCAAGCCTTTTATTTCTCTAAAGAAAGTCTTGTTCTATGCTCACAGTGCTGGTCTTAAGAGAAACAAAAGAAGGCTTATGTGGTATCAAGCGTCTAAAAAAATTACCTGCCGAGGAGCAAAATAATGCTATGAGCTCAAGTTGTTGACTCTTTCAATATGTGCCAGGCATTCTGCTAATTTCTTTATATATAGGACCTCTAAGTCCTCACAATCAGCCTGCATGGAAGGTACTATTACCACCCTCCTTCTACTAATGAGGAAATGGATGAGATACCAACATGTTAAGCACCTACCCAGGCTCTCACTGTTACTAATTTGAACCCAGGCAATTGGACCCCAGAGCTCACCATCTCACTACTACTCTATAGCACCAGTAATTTTACCCTTTGGCACTCCTTTATTTGGACTCTTTTAAAGGTAAATACCCTTAGAAAGAGTATTAAATGTTAGAGATCACCAACAGCACATTCTTCCCGGGAGCAAAAGCTGGAAGAGGTCAGTTTTCTGGTGAGAGGAAAACTATCTCGAGAAAAGTGGAAAGCTCATGTGAAAAGCAAGCTAGAGAACAGGGGAGGGAGAGAAGCTGCCAAACAAACCTTCATGACCTCACAGTATAACTCTGACCAGCCCCGGCCATTTGGTCAGCTGAATTGGCAATGAAAGGGTATAAGCCAGGCCACGGGAAGGTGTGGTATATATGTCTCTCTGGACTCACATGGGGCCTTCTCCCGTACCAGCCTGTCAAGAGAAGTGGTCAGGCCTGGCAGAGGCTAACACGGGTTAGATCTGGAGGGTGACACCTGCAACCCCCTTTTAAACACAGATGCTGGCAAAGAGTTTCTCCTTGACCAAACTCCACTGAGGCTCTTCTGAGCTTTTTCTCAGCTGGCCCTCAACTTCAGTCCTCCATGTTGATCTCTGCACTGCCCAGTTTGAGTAAGAATCCTGCGAATTCAGTTTAGCCATCCTCGCTGTCTGATCCTCATCAGATATCTAGTCGTGGTCCTCATCGTCCATCCCAGCTGACATCTGAGCAGCCCCACCTGCCTTCAGCAAGAGCCCTGTTAGTCCCTTTAGCCAGGATCCCCATTTACCCTTGATGTTTCCTCAGTAATTTTCTACTCACTCACATCCTCACCCTACTTTCCCTTGTATTCAGAGTTGAGTCCAATTTCTATCCCCCTCTGCAAAACCCCGTTAAACAGTAAGCCCTACATATACCTATCATGAAGGGTTTGAGTAACGGTGGCCTTACCTTTCCGTAACAAATATCGTGGATAATTTTGTCTCTAACAGCCTATGTAGGGAGCTGAAGAAAGCCCCATGTGGGGTAAGAGAGCAAGACGACCTCCCAGGCCAGGAGCGGCAGCAGGGAAGCATGGCCTGAGATATTGCAGGCTCCGGCCTGGGTCTTGCAGGAGACAGGCCAGCAGCTGTGGGTACCATGGACAATGGGCTGAGGCCTACACAGAGGCCCAGAGTCAGTGCATCGTCCTGGGAATGGCGCTGGGAACCACTCACTGAGACATCAGGCTCCCTCGTACTTTTCCTGCTGCCGAAACCTCTGCACAGTCTGTGGGCTAAGACCTCCTTGCCAACACATATGGTCAGTGTCCTGACAAATTGATCAGGACAGAACTCTCAGGCACAGTGAGTTCCTCTGAGATTGGAGCAAAAGAAGTGAGACACTCTTGATGGGTGGCCCCAGACCTCGCTGACATTGGTGGGGTTTTTTTTTGGGGGGGGGGGTGCAGGGGGAGAGACACTTACTCTGAACATTTCATAAAAACTTACCTTTCACTATCCCCTAGTGGAAAAAATAGTAAATCTGCTAAAAATTCCGTAATTTCTCCAACTAGAATGTTTTTCTGCCCAAACAAACTTCTCCTGATATTTAAACATTCTTGAAACTTTGTTTTTGCAAGAGAACTGTTTCCAGCAGCAAATCTGAAAACAAAACACATGTGTGTTATTTCCCAGGCATGGCAAACATTGGCCACATTCAGTGTGCTCCCAAAACTAATTCTCACAGACATTCTGGATTTGGTATAGGAAGACACAAAACAGAAGAGCAGTTTGTAATAGTAGAGATTCAAGACCTTCGAAGTGGTTTATAAGAAAACGTTTGTACATCTTTGTAAGAAACTAGAACACTGTTCTCAGCCTCAGCACTATTGACATTTTGGGCTGGATGATTTGTTGTGGGGGGCTGTTCTGTGCAGTGTAGAATGTTTAGCTACATCCTTGGCCTCTACTCACTAGATGCCAACAGCCGTGACAGCCAACAATGTCTCCAGACACTGGCAAAGGTCCTATGGGGGGCAAGATTGCCCCTGGCTGAGAACCACCGAACCAGAGGATGGAAAGACTTAAGTTCAGCATTTCTTAACCCAACCAGTGAGGTCAGAAATGGATTCACACGTGTGGGTTAAGTATATTAATCATAACAATAGAAGTTAGTAGAGAAAACAAAAATTTTTCAAGAAAAAAATGCATGTTTACATCAGAACACCTTCAGTGAATTTCATGGTAGCCTGGTCACGGGGGTGGCTGTCCAGTAAGCTGGAAATTTCAGTTACACGCTCCAAAATGTGCTTTTCTTTTAAGTACTCCTCAGGGGCTGACTTTGCCAGGTTGTTCAGGACTCTGCCTGCAGGGAAGAAATTTTGGCAAGGAAGATTATAATTAATGTTTCCTTTTTCACAAAAGAGGTAAAAAAACAATAAGCAAAACATTTAATAGCATTTCTTCATCACTGCCAATAGGTTTTTTTTCCTTAATAAATCAATGACTGGCCCACCCAGCACGGGGCTTGGTTTTCATATAACATATTTGTGTGTACACAGCATTTATGGGGCCAAAGCCTAAGACAATAGACTGAAACCAAAGTCTGAGTCTGTCTTGCAAACGAACAGGTCAGAAACAGAGCGACAGACTAGTGACACGGGTTGTCATCGTGGTAATGAGCCCTGCAGAGGGCGGCCAGTGCGATAAGAGACAATAAAATGATACAGTATCAGGACAGGAGGTAGGCGACTCAGCCCCACCAACCAGTCTCTGCCTAGGCACACCCTGCCTTGAAAAGCACCCTCTGCAAAGGCCCAACATTCTGCTCCTTTACTGAGTTACATATTCTGACAATAATACAGACTTCCAAAAAGTAGAAAGTGCTTTCTTCTTTTTTTATTATTATTATTTTTAAACATGTTTTTAATTTATTTTTCTTTCTTTTTTAATCCTCACCTGAGGATATGTTTAGGGATAGGAAGGGAGAAGGAGAGAGAAACGTCAATGTGAGAGAGAGATATCTATCGGTTGCCTCCTGTGTGTGCCCTGACTGGGAATTAAACCCACAACCTTTTGGTATATGAGATGACACTCCAGCCAACTGAGCCACCTAGCAAGGGCAGAAAGTGTTTTCTAAGCCAAGGTTTGTTAGGAAGAGAAAACACATGATAAGATTCCCAGAAGGTGTAGTCGCAGGATTACTAGTAGTGAAGAAAAGCAGATTTAACTCCCTGTGCGATGAATTTGGTCTTAATTACAAAGCACCTACCATTAAATTATCAAGAAGCCTTTTTCCCATCATCAGTAAGACCTTGTTCATCGCCCAACGCCCACGCATCCCTCCTCTGCAATCCCTCCGGGGCCTCCCACTTTGTACTTAGGCATCAGGGAGGGACACCCACATACCTGTCTCCCTATGTCCACTCTTACCCACCATGGAATCCATTCTCCACACAGCAGCAAAAGTGGTCTCATAACACAAATCGGATGACGTCGCCCACCCTGACTCCTGACAATGGCCACCCTCATGCAGAGGGTAAACTCCAAATGCTGAGACCAGCGGCCGGCAGCAGGGAGCATGTTGTGCCAGTTCTGAAGCCAGGCCTAGCTTCTGCTCTCCCTCCGGGGGTCCTGCCAGCCACCACGTGAACAGGCCGGGCTACCCTCCTGGAGAACGAGGACCACGTGGCCCAGCCACCCCCGTCACCTCAGCCCACCCTGGACTGGTGGACTCCCCCAGCCCTCCGCAGGCCGGTGAACAATAATTAATAGCTGTTGTTTCAAGCTGCTGAGTTGTGAGCGGTTTTGATACAGCCATTTAAATCGAACATAAGTCTAGAGTCCTTTAGTTTAGTCTGACTGTCCATCAGAGGGTCAAAAATGTTTAATAGATCATTCACTGGACATTCTTTTTGTCTATTAGTGGAAACACAGTGGCTTCTGGCATTGAATACTGGGGAACAAAATAATGGCTTAACTCTGTGAAGGCACCGTTCCATGTGCTTTATAGTCTCCCGCGAACACTTGCAGTCTCATCACAACATGCAATGTAGCTGCTATTTTTATCCCTCCTTTACACACAGGAAAACTGTAACCAAAACTGTGACCCAGAACAGTTAAGTCATGATTCTAAAGGCACAGAGCTAGTAAGTGGAAAGGTCGGATTTGAACCTAGAAAGGATGGCCTAGAGGCAAACTCTGAATTTCCCGCTTACAGCTCAAAGCCTTCTTTCCTGAAGCTCATCACAACAGTGCTTGACATTCTAAAAGGGTGGCCTGTCACATGAGGAGTGCTTTATGGTCAACCTTCACACATCCACCTTCCTGACAAAATAATCCAATGAACTAAACCATACATTCGTGCCCCCTCCCTCGTGGGTGAAACTCGCCCCGGAGTCTGACTCTGAAACGCGAGAGGCTATGCCTTCTGCACGGGTCCAACAAACCTTTTTGCTTCACTAAGTCCTGGTTGTCCTTTAAGTCACTGGGCGAAAATTCCATCAGTTTCAACCACGCTTTGTGGAAATACTGGAACCCTTTCTGAGTCATCCCTATTTCAAGATAGAGCTCTCCAACAGCGGTCTGCACTTTGAGAAGCATTTCTTTCATGCACTGACTCTGCAGAAAATGAAAAGGACACCGTTCCTGAGGGGACACAGCATTAGACTGGCCGCCGCACACCCGCCCAAGAAAAGCTCATTTCCTAATAAACTTGCGAAAGACTGCACGCTTTATATCCTTTCTCAGGGAAGTCTAAACATTTATAAAGTGCTGATGATGATAGGGAAGCATTTATTGGGAGACACCACAAACTAAAAATAAATTTTGGAAAATGTTTTCAAGGGTTGTTAGTGGTAATACAATTTTTGAAGATAGGAATAACGTGACAATGTCTTGCAGATGTTCGAGGTCCCAGCAGTTTACATGTTTAAAATGTATCATCATCCTCTCTACATCCTGCTTCCCCCTCTGGCTTTCCCTACTTCTGTCGACCAGATACAAAACCTCAGGGTTTGCTTGATTCATCCCATGGCCCTTGTCATAGCAAATCAGTCTGAATGGGGCAGGAGCCCCTGCCACAGGGAGGCTGACATCTCCCAACCCATCAACAGGCCACCGTGGTCCTTCCAACCCCGAGTCTCACTGCCCACATCACCAGAAATACTGATCAGCAAGTCAAATGCAGCTGCATATAGTCAGCATCCTCTTTATGAAGACACCACTTACATTCTCCCCTACTCCAGACCATCTCCTTCCTGAGCGCAGAGACCCCTCAGTCCAAGCCTGGAGCCCTGGTCTCCGTGGGTTTGCAGTAAAGATGTGTGGACATTCACAGTGATTGCAAAGTGCAGATTCCGCTTCCTTCTCAGGTTGCGGTCTGAGTGGCCACCACCAACTATGGAGCACTGACCGAACTAGGCTCCTGCCATGCAAGGCCTCAGCGGCTATTTACAGAAACCCTAGGAAAGCGGAGTGCCTACTCCTCCACCACAGTTTGGGGAAACTGAGGCTCAGTGACGCTAAATAAACCACCCAAGCTCACACGGCCAACTCCAAAGCTCTGCTCTGTACATTTTCTCAACAAGTGAACCTCTGACACACACACCGAGGCCCCTTCACAAATGTAGCCTCCGTGTTCCTGCTGCCTGGGCCACCTGCTGTGAAGTAGCAGAGGGGGAGGGTAATGAGACCTGCTTTTTTAGCAAACATACCATTTAAGTCAGAGTTTCTCAGCACTGACGCTTGGGGCAGGATACCTCTGGGCTGTGAGGGCTGAACCGTGCTGTAGGATGTTTAGCAGCGTCCCTCACTTCTACCCTCTAGATGCCAGTAGCAACCCCCACCGAGCTGTGACAACCCCACAGGTCACGAGCTTTGCCAAATATTCCTGGGGGACAAAATTGCCTCCCAGTTGAAAACCACGGCACTTAAATTTTAAAATATCCTAAGCTGAAAGAAGTTTAAAAGGGGTATACAGAATGTATACGTCACAAATAACAAGATCTATACCTTCAAGCACATATTTCTTTTTTTAAGACTTTACTTATTTATTTTTTTTAGAGAGAGGGAAAGGGAGGGAGAGAGGGAAAGATCAGTTGGTTGCCTCTCACACGCCCCCAACTGAAGACCTGGCCCCCAACCCAGGCCTGTGCCCTGACTGGGAATCAAACCAGTGACCTTGCAGTTCACAGGTCGGTGCTCAGTCCACTGAGCCACACCAGCCAGGACCTCAAGCACATATTTCAAAGAAGCTGTTATTGACCAAATTAGTTTTAGAATTTCTCTTCTGGACGTGCCTGTGGAGCCTAAAGAAAATTCTTGTAATAGTCTCCATGGTGGTTAGTCTCAAAGACCTGTTTCGAAACTATTTTGAGAATAAAATCGTAAGGTTGATGCCTCCAGAAGGAAGGCTCTGGAGTGGGAAATTCTCTTTGCATGTCTCAGCTTCAGCATGCCTCCCGGAAGCCAGCCTTAGCCCTTCACGGCCAACGTATTCCACACGTCGGGCTTCATCACTGAGGCCGATGGCAGCAGGGACTTCCAGCAAGCCTGGAGCTGCACGGGGCAGACACTGTGCCTGCCGGGCCCGTGGCTCTCTCCCTACCCCCTGGCACAGCGCTGGGGCTAGGCAAGGCCCTCCATGAATGTCAGCTGAGTGAATGACCCCACAATCAGGCACTTACTGATTACCTAACAAAATAGCTGGTGCTTTCCAGACAGACACATGTCAGTGATGAGAATCTGGATCTCGTGGAAAAATCACCTGGGATAGGGAGAAATCCCACAATCATGATAAGACACCAGAGAGTCATTGGACTCTACTCTCTGAAAGATGAAAGAGGGGTCAAAATAACTTACATCAAACTCTCATCATTTATAACCTAGGCCTCAATTACTTTATAACCCATAGACAGTAATAACAAAATAGCTACCAGTTCGTAAGATCACACTATGTGCCACACATTGTGCAAGGTGCTTTGTGCACTCTCTCAGTTAAACCTGGTAACAGCCCCAAGAGACAGACAATGGAATCCTCAACAACGAGAACTCACTGAGTCAGAGGTCAGCATTCCCGCCAAGGTCACACAGCAGTAAGCGCCACAGAGCTGTGCATCTGGCCCAGTCTGGGAACAGCCCCATGCTCTGTTCACTACTCCACACTTCCTTCTAAGAACACAAAGGATTTGCAGATTCAAATGGACTCATTGATACATTCACCACATTTCTTAAGCACCCAAAGGTGGTAATGCACCGTGGAGAATACCAAAATTGCAGGTAAGAATGGTCTCTGCCATAAAGGCACTTGCGAAGTTGAATCTTACAAATCTTTTTAGGTAGAATTCCTTCTATAGAGCTGTGTGTTGGTGGGGTTGGAGGCCGTCTTTAGAAAACCTAAAGGTGTTTGCTTTAAAATGAGGACAGCTTTGTCTTGGATTACACTATCTTTGGTCCACAAATAATGTTGGAATCAATGAATATTTGTAATTTTCTTTTTTCAATATATATTTTATTGATTATGCTATTACAGTTGTCCCATTTTTCCCCCTTTTATTCCCTTTCCACCCTATACCGCCCCATCCCCGAGCACTCCCCCCACCCTTAGTTCATGTCCATGGGTTGTACATATCAGTTCTTTAGATTCTCCATTTCCTATACTATTCTTAACCTCCCCCTGCTTATTTTGTACCTACTATTTATGCTGCTTATTCCCTGTACCTTTTCCCCCATTCTTCCTCCTCCCCTCTGTTTTACTGTTCATAGTTTTTGATCTTCTTTTTCTTTGATAAGTCCCTTTAACATTTCATATAAAAAGGGCTTAGTGATGATGAACTCCTTTAACTTTACCTTATCTGGGAAGCACTTTATCTGTCCTTCCATTCTAAATGACAGCTTTGATGGATAAAGTGATCTTGGATGTAGGTCCCTGCTTCTCATGACTTTGAAAACTTCTGGCCAGCCCCTTCTTGCCTGCAAGGTTTCTTTTGAGAAATCAGCTGACAGTCTTATGGGAATTCCTTTGTATGTAGCTGTCTCCTTTCCTCTTGCTGCTTTTAAGATTTTCTCCTTATCTTTAATCTTGGGTAATGTAATTATGATGTGCCTTGGCATGTGCTTCCTTGGATCCAACTTCTTTGGGACTCTCTGAGCTTCCTGGATCTCCTGGAAGTCTATTTCCTTCGCCAGATTGAGGAAGTTCTCCTCTATTATTTTATCAAATAAGTTTTCAATTTCTTGCTCTTCCTCTTCTCCTTCTGGCACCCCTATGATTCAGATATTGGGATGTTTAAAGTTGTCCCAGAGGTTCCTAAGCATCTCCTCATATTTTTGAATTCTTGTTTCTTCATTCTGTTCTGGTTGAATGTTTATCTTTCCTTCTGCTCCAAATCATTGATTTGATTCCCGGTTTCCTTCCCTTTACTGTTGGTTCCCTGTATATTTTTCTTTATTTCACTTTGCATATTCCTTTACTTTTTCCTCCATTTTGCAACCATACTCAATCAATTCAGTGAGCATCCAGATTACCAGTGTTTTGAACTGTGCGTCTGATAGGTTGGCTATCTGTTCATTGCTTAGTTCTATTTTTGGAGCTTTGATCTGTTCTTTCATTTGACCCATATTTCTTTGTCTCAGAGCACCTGTTATGTGGGAGGAGCAAAGCCTTAGGTATCCACCAGGGCAGGGCATCCCAGGTCACTGAGTTGTGAGGCTGTCTGTGGGGGAGGGGCCCGAGAGGGAACAATGCCTCTTGCTTGTCTCTCAGCAGCTTTCAGTCACTTCCCCCACTACCCACAAGCAAATTGGGCCCTTCTGGTGCTGATTCCCAGGTGGGTGTGTTTGTGTACATTCTAGGACCCCCTGGGTATCTCCAACAGACTCTTGTAAGGCCAGAAGTTTCTCCTGCTGCCGCAACCCCCACAGGTTTTTACCTTCAGAGGTTTTGAGGTTTCCCTTTCCCACCCTAGAACCCTAGATTGAGCAATCTGTCTCACTCCCCAGCTGTTCCTGTGGTTTATCTGCATGCAAATGTGGGACTGCCCAGTCTGCCAGCCGCTACCTTGCTGCGTCCTCTCCGCCCGGCTGCCCATGTCTGCCCCTCCTACCAGTCTGGATGAATGTTTCTCCTTTAACTCCTTGGTGGTTAGACTTCCACAAAGATCAATTTTCTGGCAGTTCTGGGTATTTTTTGTTTTCAAATTTGTTGTTGTCCTACTTTTGGTTGTGCGAGGAGGCAAAGTGTATCTACCTACAGCTCCGCCTTGGCCGGAAGTCTGTAATTTTCTTAAAGGGTAGTTAAATGTCATCCTAAGCATGGCTAATAGCTATATGAGTGAAACTTTCATTGCGTTCAACAAAGCCAAAAGTTCATATCTCAGAAAAAGTAAATCAGTATAGACAAGAAAATCAATCAATGCTCCCCAGCATCTTTATGAAAAGTATGGCCAAATTTGTAACCAATCTTTTATTAGTTCACTTCAACCCATTACTTAGTTTCCCCTTTTGCTTTATGAACACTTTTTGCCCTCCCCCCATGATGCTTATTACTACTCATTCATTCTATATTGACTCCCATCTATTTACTGCTTCTTGTCATTAGTACACAGTTTGGGGCATGAATTAAAATCATTGTTTCCTCATTAATGAACATAATTAATTGCCCTCTCCACTTGTGGACTACATTGAAAAGAACACAGGTAAATGATATCTAAAAATATCTAACAAAATAACAAAAGGAATAATGCTTGAAGGATTTAGCAAAATAAGCCAGTCGGTGGAAGAAAAATACCATATGATCTCACTTATAAGAGGAATCTAGTGAACAAAATAAACTAAGGAGCAAAATAGAACTGGAGGCATGGAAACAGGGAACATACTGATAGCTGTAAAAGGGGAGGAGGAGATGGGAACTCATTGAAAGAAAGGGAAGGGATTAGTCAAAGAACATATAAGAATGACCGATGGACACGGACAACAGTGTGGGGTTTGACTGCGGGAGCAGGGCAAAGTGGGGGGGAATTCCGATAACTGTAATAGCATAAACAATAAAATCTTTAAATCTTTTTTAAAAATCTACCAAAGGGATTCCCTTTCAAAAAATAAAATAAAATAAAATTATTTCCCACATCACCTGCACTAACATGTTCTCAACATTCAAGAACAACTCTTCTGCGTCTTTGGTCTTGCCCATCAGCTTCAAAAATCTTGCAATAAAGAACATTACTCGGCACTTGTCCGTTGCAGTGACCTCCAGAGGCCTGCATTCCAGCACTGGAATGGAAAGAAAAGCAAATAATCCTAACTCACATCTGGAGAAGAACAAAGAATCCCCATCACTGAATCTTGATACAGGAGTTGAATATATTATCCATATTTTAGTGTTTCTCTCTTAAGGGATCAGCACTTTGCTTTTATTAAGGTTTACATATATTACCAACTATTTTAAACAATGACATGAAAAATAACTCTAATGGTTTTAAATCAATTTGGTACGTAAATTTTGAAAACCAGAGGACCAAAGGAGAGTATTTTTATAGCCCAATCTGCAAATAACCATAATTTTTGTTTGGGGGTGCTTGTCGGGCAAGAAGAAAAAAGTGTCTCAATTTCTTACACAATTCTGCCCTCTACTGCAGCTATCTTGAATTATTGGCTTTAACAAGAAGAACAGAATATTAAAAGAACAAAATAAGGAGCATACTTTTTGTGTGCATGTATATGTGTAGTTATATCTTACTATACACAAAGGAAAACATACAGAAGTTTTGAACTTGAAGACCCAATTAAATACATGGTACTTCAAAGCCATCATTTTCAGAATTTCTCTTTCCAAATGTTCCAGTAGCTAAACTTCTACATTTTCCCATCAGTTACACTTCAAATTATTGCACCTAGTTTGTTTAATACAAATATGTTCCTTGTTCCTCTGCACATGCTGTAGGTCACCCAAACCTGAGTACCCTCTTGCTTTCTCTCTTCCAACTTTTGGATCACCACCCAGGCATGAAGTAATTATTTATTGAGCATCTCTGTGTGAGACAGCATTCTCGGTTCATCGGCATAGCGGATGAGGTTGCAGCCCTCAGCCCGCAGGGAGGCTGGGAGGCTTTGAACCATAGCTATGGAGCCTCAAGTTGGAAAACAAAAACAAAATCAGGGTCAAGGGAAAGAGAGCACTGAGGGTCCAAGACATTGGTCCCGAGCAGCTGTCCGAGCAAAGGGGCCTAAGGTGGGTATGAGAACTGAGGGGTTAAGTCAAGTGACAGGGAACCAGGAACTATAAGCAGCTGCTCAGAGCAGGCAGACAAGGATGGTCTGGACAAACAACCAAGGAATGGACTCCTGCCCAGGGCCGGGCTTTTGAACATTCCAGAAGGATTATTGGGTCCAGATTCCTGGTGAGGGCTCAGGTAGGACTAGACAATGTCTACCACTATGTTTAATACTCAATTCAACATTCTATGTGCTCCAAGAAGTATTCATTCATGAACCCTGCTTCTCATTGACCACATCCTCACCTTCACTCACTTAGCACCAGCATATAGTTAGAACAAACAAGAAAGTAATTTTTCTCATTATAAAACTAATATGTATACATTATAGAAAAATGAAAAATATAGAAAAGTACAAAGAAAAATTTAAATCCATCATAACTGCATCATTCAAAGATAATCTCTGTTAACCTACTGCTGTATGTATTCCTGATCTTTTGTGTATACCCACACTCATTTTTTAAAATTAAATTTGGAGTGTGGTGATTGCGGTGGGGAAAGGGGTATAAAGAGACTAAATGGTAATGGGAAAAAAATACAATAAAAAAATTAATTAGAAAAACACTTCTACTGTCAAAAATTAATTAACTAATTAATTAATTAAAGTTGGGATCATCCTATACATAATGTTTAATGCCTGCTTTTTTACTTCTATATTCAACAACATTGATATGTCAGTACTGTATTAGATGGTGAATATATGTATATATATTGAACATAATACTCATCATTCCTGCCCTTGTGTAGCTTATAAGCTATTGAAAAACATATTGTAAATATTTTTCCATATCCTTAAAAATTCTTTGAGAATACACATATTTATGACTGGATTGTATTCCACTTTACAGACTACCATTAGTCAACTTTTCAGTATTATAAAGTGCCATCCAGTGAGAATTACTGGCAGAAATCTTTTTAAACCTCCCTATTTTCTTAGAGCAACTGTTAGAAATTCAATAACCCACAGGATACTAATCTTTTGAAGGCTTTGAAAATACATTGCCAAATCGCTCCCCAGAATGATTGTGCCAATATAAACTCTCCCCGTAGCATGGAAAAGTACCTATTTCCTCACACCCTTACCAATATTATTATTGTTTTTAAAATTCATTATACAAAAAAATCATGGTCAATTTGGTACCTGAAAAATACCACCCTATTTTAATTTGCATTTGAAACAGAATGCTGTCTTTATTAACAATGTATGTTCTTCATCAACTCTAAATGCCAGCAAGAGCAAATGCATCCCTGTTTCACAAATGTTAAGTTTTGCCTCTTAGAAAGCCTGCTTCTTAGAATGAGTGAAATCGAGTATTCATTCTTTGGTGAATCCATTCTTCCAACAACCCCTGACTGAGCACCTTGAGTACCTGCTATGGGCCAGGCACTGTCCTGGCCGCAGTAGATAAAGGATGAGCCCGGGCAGACCTGGCCCTGCCAGCTGGGCTGTCAGGAGGGTGGGGCAGACTGACCCTCACATAATCATGTGGATGTACATCAGTACAAACTATGAAAAGAACCGTGAAAGAGACAGTGATAGCAACTGGGGAAGGTTTTCCGTGTATTAGAAATTTATCTGAGAGTTAAAAAAAGAATAGAAGGCTGTGAGGCAAAATGAGGAAGGGAGGTGTGGGAGATTCTGGACAGAGAAAAGAACGCATGCAAAGGCTGTAGGGCAGGAAAGAAGCATGGCCCTGAGAGACCTGAAGGATGGAGACTGAAGCGCAGAGAGACAGGCGTTTGGGTCAAGGTCAGGATGGAGACGCAGGAAGGAGCCGTTCAGCAGCCACACCATGCCTGGTGCTGCTCCAGGCACGGGGGATACAGCGGTGACCCTGAAAGGCAGAGTCCTGCTCTCAGGGAGCTTCCATTCCAGTGACAGGGGGATGGGGGAGGGGGGAGGGGGAGAGGAGCAGAAATAAAGAAAACAAGACAAAGCCAAGTAACAGCAAAAGCTATGCAAGGAGTTAAAATATGTTAACATGATCTAGAATGACAAGGCATAAAATTAGATTGAGAGGCTACTCTGAGAAAGTGACACATCAGCTGAGATCTAAATATGTAACCAGAAAGAACTGGTATAATAAATGAGTAGGAGGAGCCTTTTCTGGCAGAGGGAATAGCTGGTGCCAAGGCCCAAAGGCAGAAAGTACTTGAAGGACAGAAAGAAGGCCAGGGTAGCTGGCGTCCAGAGGTCAAGGGGGAGAATCCAACAAACGCTGCTGCCCAGACATGCAGGGGCCATGCAAGGCCTCGTAGGCCAAGCTGAGGAATTTAAACTTTGGAATAAGCACAATAGCAAGCCATTGGAGTGGTCTCAGTTCGGGAAGTGACGAATCCGGTTTACATTCTTAAGAACTCATCTTGGCTACTTAGCAGACAATAGACTTTACAGGAACAAAAATAAAAGTAGCAAGACCAATTTGGAGACTGTTACAACAGGCCAGGAGAGAGGGGAGGGCGGCTTGGGCTCACCGCTGAGGTCATGCTGTCCCCTCTCGTTATCACACCAGGAATCCTAGCTAGTGCAGTAAGACAGGAAAAGGAAATAAAGATATACTGGGAAAGAAAAAATACAATGGTCTTTGTTCACGAATGATATGATTGTCTATGCAGAAAATTTTTTAAAAATCAACAAAATGCTTCTGGAACTAATAAGCAATTATAACAAGATTAAAGGACACAAGGTTAATATACAAAAGCCAATTGCTCTGTGTACCATCATTGAACAATTAGAAATTTAAAACACAATATCATTTATCATAGCATCCCAAAAATAAAATACTTAGGTATAAATCTAATAAATATGTACATGGTCTGTATGCAAAATCTATAAATCTCTGAGAAAGATATCAAAGAAATTTTTTTAAATAGAGAGATATTCCATGTTAATGGATTAGAAGACTCCACATTGTTAAGATGCTTGACATACAGATTCAATACAATCTCAGTAAAAATCTTCTATAGATGTCCAGCTGATCTTTGATGAAGTAGGAAAGACAATTCAATGGAGATAGTCTAACTGATATATGGTCCTGCAACAATTAGACATCCATGTGCAAAAAAAAGAATCTAGACACAGACATTATACCTTTCACAAAACTACTCAGAATGGATCCTAGATCCAAATATAAAATGAAATACTGTAAAACTTTTAGAAGAAACACAGAAGAAAAGCTGTGATCTTGAGTTATTAAATACATCAAAAGCATAAGCCATGAAAGAAAATACTATGTTAGACTTTATAAAAATTAAAAACTTTTGCTCTATGAAAGGCACAGTTAAGAGAATGTAAAAAAAGCAAGCTACAGAACAGGAGAAAATATTTGTAAAATATGTGTCTGAAAAAGGACTTCTATCCAAAATATACAAAGAACTCTTAAACCTTAACAATAATAAAGATGCTCAGCAAAATAAGTCAGTCATAGAAAGACAAATACCATATGATCTCACTCATATGTGGAGTCTAATGAACAAAATAAAACCAGAGGCATGGACACATGGAACAGACTGACATCTCAGAGGGACGGAAGGTGGGGGAGACAGGAAGAGATTAGCCAAAGAACATATATACATACATGAGTAGCCCATGGACACAAACAACAATGTGGTGATGGTCAGGGTGGAGGTTGGGTGGAGGGGGGCAAAGGGGAAGAAAATGGGAGACATCTGTAATAGTGTCAACAATAAAAAATATATAAATAAAAATAAAAATATAGATTATTTTATACTTTAAAAATAACAAAGATGTTTAATGTTATTTGTCATTACAGAATTACAAATTAAAACAACTATCACATACCATTACACATCTATTGGAATGGCTGAACTTTAAAAAACTGACAACACCAAATGCTAATAAGAATGCAATACAACATTAACTCTTATTCATTACTGATAGGAATGTAAAATTATAAAGCCACTTTATAAGACAGTTTGGCAGCTTCTTATAAAGCTAAACATAGTCTTACCGTATGATCCAGCAATCATGCTCCTAGG